TTTCATAAAGGACAACAACATCATACATTAATAGATATTTTTTTAGATTTTGAGTCCCCTCACCAATTTTAAAGTGCTCAATAAAGTCAATTACTATTAGTACATATAAGCCACTCACCCCTAAGAGTCGGACATAGAACCCTCCACCCTTTCCAACAGTACAAACATATTACATTTTGCATCATAGAAGTTCACCCAAATGCGATAAATCTCCACCATCCATCAAAAACATAAAGGGCGCATGTCCTTGTTCTGTACCATATACTTTCCTATAATATTATCCTAATATTTCTATTGTCTGTAGTCCACATCACTACGAGACTGAAGGCAATGACATCTTTTCGTACCCTTTTTCCATACCCACTCCCCATTCCTTATCCACTGCAAAAATTTACAAAATTCCCCACTTCAAGTACAATAATATTGAGGGAATCCATTGGAGAATCTTACCTATCAAATGAGTTGGTTGTCTTTCCCTTTTATACTTTACAATTATGGGTGAGGTTTTTTATAGGGTGGCAACTTTATACTATTGAAGTAAGGTGCGCCTCAAAATTATGTCGAAAATATAGTTACGGTGCCGCAAAGCCTTGCGATGATGTGAAAATCTATTGTTGATCCCAATTATGAAATTTAAAATTCCAAAAATTGTGATGATCAAGTTGATCTATAAATATTTGAAAATCTTGAAAATAGACGGTCCATATAATGTGTTAGAAGATGAACTATTTTTTGGAGTAGAAATCCCCTCTTTTTTTTTTTGTTATGTCTATAAATCCGGAGATTGAAATGATTGATTTGAGGGTTTTCCTGCATAAGAGCAACCTTCAATAGTGGGTTTTGTAGGTGCACCTTACCCATACAGTATAAGGTCCCATACAGTATAAGGTTGAGACATGATATAAACTTTTTCCTATAATTATTACTCAAGTACTTAAAGTTTAAAATAAAATTTCCGTTGTGGGGTAGTTGGCTCTCACATGAGTAATCTTCAAGAATTACTTGATTTGGAATCATCTAAGTGCTTCCCTTTAAGCAAAAAAAATGAGGATTTTGGGTGACATGGCTTGAGCATAGGCAATTCATTAGGATCATAAAATATTACAGTTTATGCTTAAGGTGCATGGGATGGTTGATCATCCACATCTAAGAGTGAGAGACTTGAGATTCAAATCAAAAGAAATAGATTTGAGATTCAAATAGCAAGAGAGAGTGAAAGAGAATTTTGGGATTCAAATAAAAAAGGAAAAAGTTTATATAGGGTTCTAACCTTAAAATGTAGAACTGCATATTCACCTCAAAATCCATAAAAAAACTGTTGTTTTAATATTGAAAGACTCTCTAATTGATCATCTCGACATCGAGATGTATGAATACGAAAAAGAAAGATTTTGAGTCGCAGAGATAGCGCATCTTGCGGCACATATCTAGACCGTCCATTTTCAAGATTTTCATATGTTTATAGATTTATTTGATTTTAACTATTTTTAGAGTTTAAAATTTTATAAGTAAAAATAAAAATAGATTTTAAAATAATCTTAAAAAAAATTTATACTAAAATTATATATTATTATAAAAAAATTGGAAGTGCACCTTAGTTGGATTGTTTATAATAAAAAAATGAGTCGTTCATTTGGGCAAATGGAGGCGAGTGCCACGTCCCTTTGTCCGTGGGTTGTAACTGTTCTTGCGTCTCCCAAGAATTTTGTAATATGAAGTTTCTCTCTCTTGCTGTGAGGAAAGTAAAAGTAGATAAATGTGGAGTGTGATTAGATATGATTCCAATAAATAAACAATGGGATTAAGTTTGAAATTGAAAGTTTTGAAGACTGTTTTAAAACTCTGGTAATTTTTTATCCGAATCACCTATACTAATGGAAATTGAGTAGGACTGATCCAGTATCAAGATGGAATGGGCCCTCGGCTCGGATCCCTCCTGAAGTTTTAGATCCTCTCTAAACCCCCGCCTTATAAACTTTATTTGAGTTTTTATTTTATTTATATACTAATATTTTTTAGATCATCAATTCAAAGTGATCTACACAGATTTTTTGGATCACTACTCAAGACCCGTTAAAAGGAATGGGTACGGATAAGAAGATATATACAATGAAACCATTTATTTTTTATATAAGGAGTCACAGTCATCATTGATCATTAGATTTGAAATTGAGTAGTTTAAAAAGTGCTATTTTACTAGGGTACAATGTTCAAAATAAAAATTCTCGAATATCACTTTGAAATTGGCTAAAAAGGATCGTGACCTCTTTATACTATAAATAAATGATATCACAATTTATAAATCCAAATAATAAAGTGATGACCTTCTAATACATTTCTGCTTTGACTTCAACATTTGGAGTTCAAAATAGGCATATAAAGTGTCAAAAAAATATCCTGATGGCCTGCAAATATCCCTAATTGTGGAATTTTGAGCCGCAAAAAGGGCATCAGATGGATTACAAAACCTAGAAATGGAAGATCCTTAAAAGTTGCAAGATACACCACTTTCAGAAATTATTCTATGAAAGATCCATTATTCATTGACTTAGATAGGACAGATTTGCCAAGTGTCTACCGCAAGGACTAATTTTTCTAAAGAGATTTGAGCATGGCTAGACCTTTTTTAGGGACTTGAAAACAACCTTTTTTTTCTTCCTTTTTTTTCTTTTTCTTTTTTTTTTTTTTCAGATTCGTGTTAGTCAATATGGAGATGATGGATTTTCACAGTACCCGTTGTCATGACTGGTTTTCCAACAAGATTTAGGCCACATCTGTGCAGCCGCAGCCGCTGCTGCAGACTTATTAAATACTTTTCCCAATAAAATCCACCAAATAACTAATAATGGAATGAGACCAAAAATTTCCCAGAAATCCAAATGTATTTGCATGAGAAAAATTTCCAAGAAAAACTTTGGAAGAATCAAAATGTATCCTGTAGGGGAGAGAGAGATGATACCAACTTTTTTTTCTGCTTGGTGGCAATCAAAGAGGTAAATTCCGTATCATATTGGGCTACACTTCCTCAAGAATCCAATTTTTATACCCACAAAAGGAGATCAAATAAAACAACCATCTCCATTGAAGCATAAGATCTTGTAAAATTTGAGGAAGGAAGATCACTTCTTTTTCCAAGGAAACCAACACCACCCAGTGTTCTGTACCCGGACCAAGGTACTTAACTTTGGCCGAGGTGAGTTTTTTTGGGCAAATCCGAATAACTCATCCGAGTTCAATCGTATTTAAGAAAAAAAAAAAAAAGTAGAATACATAACTACATATACAATATAATCTGCCTCCATTTAATATTAATTATTGACTGGCGTAGCACTTAATCTAGCCGGCACCTCCTTCACGAAGGATCGATTCCCATGAACCTATTTTTTTTAGCTCTTGTATTTTGCTTTATGTATTTCAACACTTAAAAAAAAAAATGACAATAATGAGGGCAACATTAAATCGGAGGGATTCGAACCCTTGTCGTGACGTGCAATGTGCGTGAGTATTTCGTGCACCTTTTGGCTTGAAATAAACATTGAGATTCCTAATAATAAACCAAAACCCCTACACGATTAGTTACAAATGCATTTTGACAAGCATTTGGGACACTTGGTCAGGTAAACCAAAAGCTTATAGATAGATACGAACAAATTCCCACTTCCCAAAAAATATAGATTTGTATCAAATTGGGACTAGTAACTAATCCCAATATTGAAGTATTGAAACAACTCATAAGCAAAAAAAATCTTAAATATCCTTTATCATGAGACATATAATTATCACCATAGATAAGAACCATCATTCCAACTAATTTATATAAACTACAAATTTTTGGCATACACTCAGCATAAACTCGCGCCTCGGCCGAGTCTCAAAACAATGACGCCACCCTTTCAAAAAGTTTAATAACAAACGATTACATATTTGTGACCTCAACAATATTTTGGTCAATCATCACTTGCACTTACGACCTTTTGCTAACAAACAGAGAGAGAATCCGAGGACGAATGAAAAGGCAACCATGTTGGTCACGCATTGGGACAAAAGTAGAGGATTTGAAAATTTGGGACCCTGCAAATCACTCCAACCTACCCCAAACTAATGACAAAACCTTTCTATATCTTCTCATGCACATTTAATTTATACATATTAAGGAACTACTAGTCATATTTAGAGGTTAAAAGCGATGCAATGATAATGTCACATATCAGTGTCAATTGTTCTAGTCAAGCCACAATTTCATAATGGCATTATTGTTGACTCACTAACCATCATCTAATCTTGAAAAAATCAGGTTCAGACGACACTCTGTCCCTTTATACATATAAATTATGTGTACATAGACCATAAAAAGCAAACCCAAATAATAGTTCAGTCAATTCAAAGTAGTGGTGCATGACATATGCTACAACACTTGGATGTCCTTCGTTTGTGCCCATTGAAAGATGGAGGAGATTAACCTACGAAGTTCTACTTCCCCTATTAAGTATTAATAGTATAGAAAATATATCGTGATGCACTATAGTTTACAAATAACAAAACTACATGTCGACTTAATGGATAGTTGTTGACAACAGCAGGTTGATGTGAACCATTTCTCTCCTGAATGTAAGTTTAGGCAGGCGAATGTTCATCGCACATTGTCCATTTTTGACACCGGACTTGATGTGACATGGATTTTAGTGTTTGTAAACTGCATGCAGCACCATATACAATCCCTAGATACATGATGCTTTCATCTGTCTCAAAAAGTAACCATCATAAATCTGGACCTCGCAAAATGTTTTTTGAAAGGGACATCGATATTCTTTGAGAAAATTTCATTAACAAATAATGTACTCCTATGCAACAAATGGTTAGCAAATCAAGAATCTACCATGCATCCCAATGAATATGTTTCAACATTAATGGTAAACCATTTCATTTTACCCTCAATTATTATCATGCATCCCAAGTACTAGGAGAACGTATTTCCTCAGGAAGATAGCATGAGCAAGGAATGTCAAAAATGTGCTCTCACTAAACCTTCGGAAAATAAAATTCTCTTCACAAACAAAATCAATTACATTCGCTAGTCAACAAACAAATTAAGATACAATACCAAGAAGAAGAAAAAATTACCAAACAAATTCTGATACAATACCAAGAAGAAGAAGAAAAAGAAGAAATTCCCAACAAAACAAGAAGATGATCGTGTTGGTGTGTCTGGCCCAATAGAACAATAGGATCACGAGAATTGTGCACGATAGGGGAATAAAGCAAGGATCACCAGAATTGTGCACACGGGGGAAAAAACCAACCACCGGAGGAGCAAGTGCACATTAATGGTAGGGAATAGAAGAGTTAAGAGAGAGAAAGTCGCAATTAGCAAACCTTACAGCTTCTCCTACAGGCACCGGGAACTTCAGCAGAACCCACCATGTATTCAGGATTGTTTTTGCACTCTCCAAGAGCCGCCCATTTCTCACACCTCTCATTCTCATCTTTGCAAGTATCAACGTTCCTGTCAAAAGAGTCAACATGTATCCACTTTGTCGCCGACCATTTCTCTCCCTCGAGGACTGGGCACCCACCATGGAGACTGACCTCATCAATGGAAGCATTTGGGAAGAGGCTAAAGAAGAGGAGAGCATCCCCTTTTCTTGGTTTAACTGAATGGAAAAGAAAGACAATGCTTTTATCATAAAAGATTCACCAAAAAAAAACAGGCAAGAAAATTGGGAAGATTATGGAGTCCAATACTCCAATGAAATGATGGGAAGAGAGAGAGAGAGAGTCGGACTGAACCCTGGAGATGGATCCCGCTCTCTTTCCATCACCTTCCACCGTCCTGTTGGATGGTGATGAGCACAATGTATAATAGTTTTTTATTTTCCATTGTGAAACTAATACTTCGTCTAAGGTAGATATACTATTGTCAAAGTAGAGTCATTGCCTGCAACTCCCTGCCGGCCGCACTCAGATAGTGTCTCATCCACCACATGGTTTTTGCGACGTTCTTTTATCTGTAAAAAGAAATTTTGTCAACTAAGACTTGTACTGAAATAAAGAGTACAAGAGAACGTAGCATTTTCTTTTTTTGGATGACATTAGCTTTGTAGAGAGAAACTCGTGTACTTTGAATTGAGTCCATGTAAGTAGAGAAATTCCCACTCATTGATGATAATATAGTATGTAATAGAAGAGAAGATATAAAACTCACTGGAGGCCAAGCTTTGTCAAATGTTAAAATGATAATGAATGATAATAAACAACTGCTAAGTCTATATGTACCACAACATACAAAGTGCACAATGCAACTGACCTCAGCTTGAGGGAATACGGTCTCGCCGCCTTTGGCCACATCCGAAAGATACATAAGCACAGTTGCAAGTCGGTGACCCCCACGAGCAATATTCACCTTATCAGAGAAGTAATCATGATGTGCGTCATATTTTTGTCCATGTTCATATCTTAGCACTTGGAGGTCTTCACCATTTTCTAGGAGACAAAATAACAGAGCAACTTCGTTGGTAAGTGTTACTGTTTATTGCAACCATATTGATCATAACGACCGTTGCTTTGAGCTGAATGATTTCAGGAGTTCTCTCTTAAATATTTAGACCTCCAGGAGTTCTCTTTGGAAGTTAAATCAACTCAGAAAATATTATCAAATAATATGGTGATATGGTCTTAATATGAATTTCAGGTAGAGAACAAGTACGCCATAAATATCTTAGAAAATGACCACTATACTATTTTCTTCAAAAAAAGAAATTATTTTGGTCAAATTCAAAAAGATCCTGCTGCCTCAACGCTTTAAGATCAGTCAAAAACTCTGCATGGCCCAAGCAGGCTTCTCAGTCTAAATTTGGTGTTTTTAGCTCAAAATACAAACATGTTCTGTACATATATGCCTTCTTACTTCAAAAAATATATATGCCTTATTAGCCCACACTTCCATATTTATCTCTATGTAAGTTAGATCCTTGGTTATTCTGAGTGATGGAAGAACTTGGTAGATACTCAGGAGCCAAGGGTAATCGCTATTCCTCAGCTGTAATGGGATCATTCAAAGCAAGGACATTTGCAGATGTCATGGAGTGTAATTATTTTAATAATTTTCATTCATGGGAATGACCATGACCGTGACCCACACAGCACAATGAAGCATGATATATGCAGGTAATTGGCCTTTGATGTCATAATGATTCAGAATTAGTCATTTAGTTCTAAATCATCATCATCATAATAGCTTTTTCTCAATTAATTGGGGTCAGCTACATGAATCTTGATCCGCCACTCTGCTCTATTAGTGAGGCCATAAGTCCCCATATCTTTTCTCACTAACCATGTCCTTTTGGGCCTACCCTTTACCCTTTCTGAACCTTCGACTTGAACTAAGTCACACCTCCTAACAGGTGTTGTACTGGATCTGCGCTACACATGGCTAGCCCACTTAAGTCTACTCTCTCTCTTCTTATCGCCTATTGGTGCCACACCTAAATTTGTTCGAATTGATTCACTTCGAATTCTATCCCTTCTTGTCTTGTGATGCAAGGAAATTTGAGCAAACAATAAAATTAGTAAAAAACAAGCCAAACACACGCATATTCAAAGAAATCTAGGGTTTTTTCTCCATATCCCAAGCTAGGGTTCCAAAAGACTAAGTTTTTCTCTCTTTCAATTTCTAAAAATCATGTGCAATTGACCCTCTCAAGGCCCCACACACCTTATATATTATAATTCAATCATCAAGGACATTACATGTCCATATACTTATTAGAATGACTTATATATCCTAGAAACTACAAGCCCCTAGAATTAAACCCCAAAACTAAAATCAAAATATACATTCTTTAAAATTGAATAGAAGTTAAAAATAAGTATAATTTTTCCCTCCATCATTCTCCCCTTGTTGAAAAAAACTCGTCCTCGAGTTTTGAAGTGTGCTAAGATGAATTCATCATCAAAAACACCTTCTTTTTCGTTGTTGGCTCAAATACTATTCATGGTAAAGATAATTCCTCAAAAAACGGACCCCGACATCTATACTGAGAAATTAGGGCCACAATTTGATGATTGTGAATCAATCATGCTTTCACTGCACTACTCTGATTCAAATGCCCTAAATCTCTTGAATGCTCTACCTCTTCAATATTAATGAGATCTTTAAAGGCCACGATTCGGATCAGTCCTCCTGTTGCCTTCTCTCCATATTCTTCACCCTCTTCCAAAATCTCCTTATCATCATCTTTATTATTATCATAGATCGAATCTCCTAAAAGATCTTGTTGTTCATCTGGGTATATATCGAAGATTGGCGGTAAATCTCAATCTACAACTTGCTACTTTTTCATGCAATCTGTGTCAAAATAAAAAATCTCATCCTCCAAATCGAAAATCCTAGAGCGATGTTCAATGCATCTAGGTCTTCTATCGCTATCCTCACCACCTGACCCCACAAGCGGAGTGCGAAAGTGAAAAAGCTTGTAATCGAGATCCTCTGAGGCTGAAAAATCACCGTCTTGCCCATTATTGAGGCTCGCATACTGCTGTGCGGGCTGCTGTACTTGCTTTCAAGTTTCTCAATTCTATCATCTATGGGATCACATAGTGGATCTATGAAAACCCCACTTCTACGGCTCCTTTTCACTACCATAGGTTCGTCGAAATCACAAATCCTAGGCAAATAATCAATAAAAATTGACGAAATCAGCAAAATCTAGGTTGTTTTAGAAAAATTTTGGCCAAAATAAGCAAGCCCTAACTATAATTTCCCTCTTTTTTGTTGACATAATTCAAAGAAACCTAGGGTTTCTTCTCCATACCCCAAGCTAGGGTTCCAAAGGCCTAAGCTTTTCTCTCTTTCAATTTCTAAAAATCATATGTAATTGACCCTCTCAAGGCCCCACACAACTTATTTATTATAATTCAATGCTCTAGGACGTTACATGCCCATGCACTTATTAGAATGACCTATATATCCTAATTTAAACTTAAATTTCATAATGACATATTTACTCATGTGAATAGTACTCATGAATAGTACTTGTGAATAATAATCATGAAATAAATAAATAAAATATAAAAACTTAAAATTCCTAGAAAATAAACACCCCTAAAAGTAAATCCTAAAATTAAAATATACATTCTTTAAAAATAAATAAATAAAAAACATAAGTATAATTTTTCCCTCCATCATCTTGCCACTCATCCATCTCAACATCCTCATCTCTGTTACACCCATTCTATAAGTATATTGTTTTTTGTTTGCCAAACATTCTACTCTATAGAACAAAGCGGGTCTCACAGTTGTCCTATAGCATTTTCCCTTGGGGTCCAAGTTATGATTTTGCATAACTACTGCAAAAGTTGAATGCAAAATTCTCTTCTTGATCGATATGCGAACATGAATAGTACACCATATAATATTGTCTGTATGGAACCGTAATCTTATGTATATATATGCAGTATTGAGGGAAGTCATGCACGTCATGATTTAGTTGATATAAGATCGTTATTTGGACACAATAACAAAAGCAATGTGATGTCTTGAAGGTGCGGACTTCTGGAAGATTCTTAGAAGATATTTAACTCAGGAGCAAAAACCAAACTCGCCCCTAAGTTTTCATTTTTTGTGTGTAGATCAAGGAATCCAAAATGATAACATTGAGTGCCATGGTCTAGGCATGGAGTTCTTTGTCAACCATTAGGTTGAATTCTCATACCAATGAAAATAAAATAAGACATTCCGTATTGATAAGCATAAAAGATTTTCAGCAACTTTGAAAGATAAAAATCCCTTTAGAAATGACAAAATCATTCCTCATCCAAGACAATCACGGTACTCTTTATCATCATGGAAACCATATGGTCCTTTAAATTTGACAAAATCATTCCTCTTTCAAAAGGTGAATTGTAGTATTTTGTATCTTCATGGAAACTATCCAAACTATCTGGTAATTAGGATTATGAACTGTGAATGGTAGTCCGTATCATCATGGAAACCATATGGTCCTTTAAAAATGATAAAATCGCTCCTCTTTCATAAGGTGAATTGTAGTATTCTGTATCTTCATGGAAACTATGTGGTAATTAAGATTATGAACTGTGAATGGGTGCAAGAAACTTAGGTTTACTAGTTGTGCAGCAACAACATAAAAGAAAATGAAATATTTGATCAGCATGGTTCTGAATGTTAAATCATGTAGGGGTTTCGTGGCCTTTAAAGGCCGTAAAAGCATGTAAATAAGAATTATATTCTTATTTAGTTGATTATACACTTTAGTGGGAGCGTGTCTGTTAGTTGACTGACCTAAGGTTAGAAAATATATGGCCCTGAAAATATGTCCAAAACCCTTACCCCTGGGCAATATGGCACTACCAAAAAGGATTTTCAGAGGGTCATCCCTTGTTGAGGTCGGAAAGATGGCTAGAGATCGTTTGTACGCCAGAAGAACTATGTGGTCTCCTGTGTGCGGATGTAAGTTGGAGAAAGCGAGAACTGATCCTCAACAAACTTCAGCACAACATGTACACATGAAACTGCATCACCACAAAGCAACCCTCAAAGCGATATATTTACATGTGTATAGAGCAAGTCCCCCTTGTAATATAGTGATACGTGTGTTACTTGCTCTTAAGGGAGGGGGGCCTGTATTCCAGGACTATAGTTCCACTATTTATTAACCAATTTTAACGAGCCAATCATGAGTCCATGCATAAGATTGTGAGTCATGGGTCTCATTGCGTTGGTTTGAGAAGACAATAGAGGATCGCGGTTACTCTGTCAGGTGAAGATCCCTTACAGTCACTTATGCTGACTTCTTAGTAGCATTCAACTTTTAAATATTTTGTTTTCAGTGTAATAAAAGTTTATGTGAATTTTAGGAATTTTCCTAGAATTTTTAAGATTAATTTCAACAATAAAATCCCTAAAAAGGGCATTTCAAATATTCTAGAACTGTAGAAGGGCGGAGTGGAGCATGTGACGACCTTTGGATCCAACCCGCATGTGTGTCACACCTACATGAGTGGGGCATGGAGCCCATGGGGTGCACACCTCACACATGAGGCAGCACGCCCCCCTCCTCTCTTCTTTATTTCTTAATTTTGAAAAGCCTTTTATTTTGGTTAGTTAGAAAATCTTGTGAAAAAAGACAATATGTCCTTATTTTGCGGGAATTGGTATTTGAAATATTGTTTGTAATTTTGACCAAATATTTTATTTTTGACTTCCTACAATTTTGTGAGAGATAAAGGAAGCTCTAGAATATAGTTTTAGATTGGTCTTATCCTAGTTTGACTAGGAGTGGGTATGGGTCATAGATTCAGGGGATAAGGTTCCAAGAATTCTTCCCTAATTCATGGTGGTTGATTCATAGGATGGATGGCTCAGATTTAATCCTCTCTTACCTCCTAGATTTCCTAAAACCCTATTGACCATGATGAGTCATAATTTTGCATAGGCATTGCCTAAAACCCTCGAGGCCAATCTAAGAAAGAGAACCCCCCCCCC